TTTGAGGAGAAGAAATGAGATCTGGATAAGGAAGGTGGAGGTACGTGTCAGAGAATGCACCCAGGAAACCCAAGAGACTCATCACCTGCTCCCCTGAGGTGTCAGATGTAGCCAAGGGCAAGAAGAGTGGGCAGGTTAGACCCCAGTCCTCAGAAGAGTCCGGCCAGAAAAGAGTTTCAAACAGAGAAATAGCAGACTGAGGTATGCCAGTGGGACCAGCAGCTGAGATGCTGCTGCTGGTTCAGACTGAGCAATGGTGCTAGCCAGGCTAAAGGAAAGGAATAAACCGAGGTGAGACATGTTAAGCAGAGAATCAACAGAACTTGGCGGGTGAGTTTCTTCGCTGGAAGAAGCAGTTGATGGTAACAGCTAATGCAAAGATCTGTCAGCCTCCCACATCTGCAGGTTCTGCCTCCAAGGAGTCAACTGAGACGTGTGTGTGTGTGTGTGTGTGTGTGTGTGTGTGTTACAAATTGCATGCATATTTGTTTGTTGTTTTTCATTAAATTCAGTAGCTGCCCCTTAAGCAACTGCTGTCCTAATCGGCAGTTGCAACACTACAGATACAAGGTTTAGCCACACTGGCTGTATCCAGGCAGGAATTCTGTTCCCTCAGGCACCAGCTCAATCACAGCCCACTAAAGGGATCCTTATCTTGATCTCTACACCTCTAGACTAGGTTAATGTAGGTAGGAAGACCCTCCCTAAATATGTCATGGGATGAGGTTCTAGACACATGTCTAAAGCACTGGCTGAGAACCAGCATTCCTCTCTCTCTGCTTCCTGACCGAAGATGCACTGTGGCCAACTTCCCTAACCTCCAGTCATGAGGACTTTCCTGCTATGATGCACTACACCTTCAAACTATGAGCCAAAATGAACCTTTCCTGTCTTACATCATTTGAACCATGTGCTTATTCTGTCACAACAATGAGAAGAGTCACTAAGACGGATCTCAGGCACCAGGTGCTTTTACTGTGCACCACCCATATGCGCTTGCGAGTACCACTGCATGTAAAGCTCATCATGACCCAATTTACAGATTTTAAAAGAAGCAACAGCAGAGGAGGTAGATTACACCACCCAAGGCAACCAAGAAGTTCTGGAAGACGACTGACTCCCAGGATTCTGGCCTACGCCTCCGCGCCTCTCTGGCCACATCCCTGTCTCCTTTGACGTGATCCCGCCTGCCCTGAGCTGTGTTGCCTGGCTGCCTTCACTCCCAGAGGCTCTCTCTCTATCTCTGCTTATGCTGTCGTTGCTCTCAGAATGCCTTCTTTCTCCCCCATCAATCTCTAACTATTGTGTCCTCCTCTTCTGGGGAACTGTTGTTGGCCCAGCCCTCACCACCCCCACCCCCAACCCCACCCACTAGAGTTCTTCATTTATGAATCTATCTACTCTGGTTGACTTTGCTATTTGGGAGAGAAACAGCGGGCTGCTTCCTTCATCCTGGGAGCCCTGGGTGCGAGCTGGGGCCTGACACGTGGTTTGAGCTCAGCAAATGGAGACATTCCCAGAAGACAGGAATTTTGTGCTGTGGACCCTTTGAGTTGGCGATGGCAAAGGGACATGGAAGTGGGAAGGTCGAGCAAACAGCTGGAAGGCAACCACAGCTCCTGCATGAAAGAAGTTTTGAGCCGATTTCTATGTGGAGCTGCTTGAATAAAAATGAAGTCAAGAAGGAGAAATTACAACCTGGGCTCCTTCTTCAAGGCTCTCTTGACTTAGACATTGTACTGTGGTGCCTCCCGCTGTAGTCCACCTGGATCCACCTCCAGTCAGAATTACTGGCCTGGATAGCCATTGTCTCCTAGGCTTGGCTCCAGCCAGCCTTCGGGCTGAGATTACCCACACTGCAGCAAACAAGAGCATTACTCACCTCTCTTGCTCTTATAACTGTGCCCACTCACTCCCAGGCTTTGGAGCCAAACTCCCTGATGGGGGTTCCCTCATCATCAGAGGCTAAGAGAATTCCTTAACCTGTCTGTACCACAGTTCCTTCAGTTGTGTGGGGTTGACATGGGCCTGGTTTCTGAGGTAACTCCCATAAAGCATTATTATTAATATTTGTGTCCAAGCACACCCCACGTTCTACTTAACATCAGGAGACTTTGTTAGGTCTCTCACTAAGAGACAGAGTCTGCACCCGCAGCCATTGTCTAGCCCTTGACAATCTATGCAATTGAGAGTGGGTGTATAAAAGGTCAAGGTCAAAACCCAGGTGAACACTGGCTTACACCTAAGAGTCAGGAATAAGCGACTTAGGGAAGGTGACGGGGCACGGTCACAACAGTGCCCGCTCTTACTGTGTGGTCTTCCTGTCTTCTCTTGCTGTCTCTGCTCGAGCCACATCGCCTTCCTGATTAGCCTTGGATAGGGCCAGCTTGTCCATTCCATCAACAGGACCTTTTCTATACGTATGACCATTTACCATCCCCCACCCCATATAGTAGAATGCCTTGCTCCTTCTAACCGTTCAGGTCTCTGTCCAAACATCTCCCTAGCGAGGCCTCCCCTGCACGAAACAGCCATGATGTCACCTCTCTGAGTTCTTTATTAAGCATCCAGGGATCCCAGATTGCCACTCAAGACCATCCCTGCATGTCCAAAGACAAGGCTCTTCCTGGATCAAACATGGCTCAGAGCTTTCTACTGCATGACCAGTCATTTCTCTTGATACCCTTCTTCAGCCTTGTACATAGAGTTATATAATGAGTTAAAAGTGGTTAAGAGCCTAACTATTTAAAGGACAAGAAAGAAATTTCGATAGTGAGTATAAAGGGCTTTAAAAATGAAGAGTCTTACAAATCATGGAACAGATGCTTATCAAAGGTCATGTTACAATTACCTCTCACCTCCCATTCCTAGAATATTTGAGTTCAGACAGTGGCCTAGAAGAAAGATTCACTTTAAAATATAGAAAGAACAAGTTCTAATCCTGTATGGAAAAAAATGCATGTTGGAAGGGAGCTAAGGAGGTTGTTGCTGGAGTCTGCTGCAGCTGGAATGCATGCATAAGCCAGATCTCTCCAACCTAAAGCAGGAGCTCTACAGTATAACTGTTCATTCTCTCGGCAACCCCAGTGCTAAAGACAGGATTGCACATGTATTAGACCAGTCAGATGAATATAAAGTTGGATTCCTACACTCTGGACAAAAATAATTGCTGCAGACCATCCTCTGTCATGCTATCTACATCTGTATCTAGTAGAAATAAAATGGTGTTTTACAAGCAGTTCAATGGTTGGGAAAATGATGTGTATAGAAGGTTCCCATGCCCCACCAAAACACATCAGATAACTGTCTTCACAATATTCCATGAACGGAGAACATGTTTTTCTTTAGGTGGTCCAGTAAGCTGAGAACTGTGGTGGACTAACCTATCTGGGTAGCAACTGAAGTCACTATGCTAGGAATCTAAGAATTAACATGGACTTGGTAGCCAACTATACTCACATGTTAGGAATAGGGGAAGAAGGAAAATATTTAAAATAGAACAAGTTCTAACTGGTATCTATATTTAAATCAGTTTACTTCCCCTTGTCTAAAGAAGAACCTGTGTGATTCACAGGTACCCCCAAGCTAATCATCCCCCATTTCCTTTGATTGCTGAATATACTGGCTTTACAAAGCAATTTCACTTGTTATGATTTCATTTTCCCACCTGGGTGCCCAGTAAATCTCTAGAGTTTCTAAAAACTTATAAAGCTTGTTATTATGCAAGCCTATTACTGATGGTATTCTGGGGGCAGCATCTACAGTGATGTAAAAAAAATCAGAAATTAGAACCTTTGACAGGAAAAGGTATAAATTTGGTGAGGTTTTGTCAATTGAATATGCCTAAAACACCATCAGGATATTGAATTATCTCCCACATAGGAACCGAGGAAAGAGGAAATTACATGTCAGATGTGTGAGGAATATGAAAAAAAATGTTTTGACTCTGTAAGTCCTTTATAATCTATTCACGGTGTGTGAGTGGTCCCCAGGAATCAACTGCAAATGCTGTGAAATAACCAAATCATCAGAAAGAGAACGAGAGACCTTGCCCCTTTAACCTTGGGGAAATTGTCGTGGAATATCACAAGCCTGGGGACCAAAACCTCAACACCCAGGAGCACCCACTGCCTCCCAGCAAGCACAGACTTCCAGTTGTCTGTGAAAAAACACTCCCCAAGACTGTTCACAACCTTCTCCTTGAAACTCAAAATCTAGATGTTATGTCAGCTACTGCATGCAGGGAAAGGGCTGGCAGACTGCTAGCTTGCTTCCTATAACCCACGCTCAGCAGCCTTTCTGATAAAGGACTAGAGAGAATTGCTTTTTTTCCCACACAAGCAGGAATGTTGATAAGAAGCGGCCCTGCTAGGATTGCTCGCAGAAACTCAAACCTTCACTGTGACTACCTTCAGAACTGTGCAATGCCCTAACATGTCTGTAGACTCACAAGTACTCGGATACATATTCTTTAACTGAGAAACGGGCTGAGGGAATCACGCCTTCGATTGCCTCAGAACTTTTATTGCCTCAATCTGATTTCCCTTTTGCATCAAAAGAAAAAAAATCGGTGCATATTATTTTAACTTCACGGCATCTGTGAGGGATGTTCTCGCCTCACTTTTACAGACGGAGACATTGCTGGAGCAGAAAAGTTTAAATAACTTGCCCAAGGTCAGACAGGGACAAGACAGCCTCTGAGCAAATGCATGTCCCCCAAGTTCAAGGCTCAAACCCCAAACAGGACCTGACACCCCACGTCCCTTGTGAGAACTCCAGAGACCGTTAAAATTTTCTGGAGTCCCGAGGCTCCCCAATGTGAGCCTTTTGGGGTTCCAGGACTCTCCCTGGCAGGTACCTGCCTCCAGTCTCCCAAGCATCCTCCTGCATCCAAGAGTACCGCTCCCTCCCTGGCAGCCCCACAGACATAACCGAACCCCGAAGTTTCCCGGGGTGCCGGTTCGGCTCCCACGCCCCGCCGGCCCTCCCGCCAGCCGTACCGTAAGCGGTGAGGGAGGCCATCCTGGCTCGCGTCCGGCGCAAGCTGGCCAGCGCGTCTGCGAGAGCGGTCGCCTGAGCACCGCGCCCCTGGACGGCGAGCCCCCGGCCCGGCGAGTGCATGCGCTCGGCTCCCAGGGCTCCGGGCCGGGCTCCGGAGCATGCCCAGTCAGCCAGCCACGCTCCGGAGAGGTGCTGCGTGCGGGAGCCTTGAGCCAGGCTCGGCGGAGAGGGCGTGGGCAACGGGCGCGCTCCGGGGGATCCCGCGGGGAAGAGGAGGCGGGTGGCCAGGGGGACCCAGCTGGGTACGAGCCTAATGCTGCCTCCCTGCCCTGATCCCTGGAGGACAGGTATGATCCTGGTGATGAGGGTTGCCGGGGGCGTCCCCGGAGGATCCGCAACCTTCCGAATGGCTAAGCCTCAGTCTCTTCCAAGACTAGTTCCACTGGAGAGCGCGCCCCGGACGCAGTGGGTGGGTCCAATGATCCGTGACTCTCAGGCACCGTGCCCAGCCCAGGGGACGGACTTAGAAAGAGTTGGCCTGGCCTCCACGGAGACCAAAGCCCAATGGAGAGTGGCAACCTTGAGTGGAGGCCTTTTAGTGTAGGTGTGGAGCGATAAATTCGTAATTTTGGCCACAGCATTTCAAACCCATTCCAGAACACTATCCTGACACCCTAAATGGGGCTTTGGAAGCTGTGAGCAGCTTTCTGTCTCACTCTGTTTTGACCCTACCTCCTGGTGGGGCTGGGACAGTTTGCTGAATGACTGAATGGACAGATGCCTCTTTGTAAGCCCACCTATCCTGTTTTGAGAACACTGGTTTGGAAATCACCTGGCTGAGAAAGGGAGAGTGGATGAAAGAGAGCTGAGAAGCCAGTGACCTGGGGGCAGAAAAGGAAAGGTGACACAATGGCCCTGGGGTCCGCTGCACTGGACACTTTGCAATTCTCAGCCATCCAATCTTGTGATCACGTCCTTGACACTGTGACACCGGGTTGATGGTGATGGCAATCCCAGCTTTAACGAATCGGCAGCGCTTAACGAATTTGGACAGAAGAGACACCATCAAGGCCAGTCTTCTGCGCTTGGGACGGTGCCACCTTAAGTGTCATCACACAAGGAGGAGAAATTTGGCAGGGCGAGACCTGGAGGTTTTATAGGATGCTTTTCTGAGATGCTTGACAGCGTCCACCCCAGCAGCCTCACTTTGCCTAACCCAGCCTTCCAAATTCTACTTTCCTTTGGGCTAGTGACCTAAGGCAGACAGCGAGCCAGGCTCTAGGAAGCATAGGTGCTCGGTCGTTTTGGGAGAAAGGAAGCCAGGACCAGAGAAGGGCCAGGCTAGCCCCAGGTACTTGGGTTTTACTCAGCATCAGTCAGCTGCCTTCCAGCTGGGTGACCCTTCTCCAGACACCCTCTCAGAGCTCCACTGAACTGTCTGCAGAGTTAATACTCCACTGCCCACTGCACAGGGCTGTCGTGGGGATTGGGTGGGCTCTGGACGGTGTCTTCCCAAGACTCTGCCTCTACTCCCAGTTGAAGGCTGCTTCTCCATCCGGGTCTCTTCACCTTGGCTCTGGTTGGCTCTACATAAGGCTGAACTTGAGCCTGTGGTCACCCCTGTAGCCTTCAGTGGGTCTCTGTGGGGCTCCTGTCTGGAAGTGTCCTTCAAGCCTCCACTTTGGCCTCAGAATCCTCTATCTCCTCTCATCCCACCCATCCCCACCTCCCACTCCTCAGCATCCCTGGCTGAGTGCTCCTCTCCTGGTGACTCTCTGGAAACCTGAAGCTGCCTCTGTCTCCCCGAGATGCTCCCAAAGCCATGTGGTGTTGGCTGTGACCTCTAATTCTTTCTCCTGTTGCCACTGTTCCAGACCAGGTAGAGTCAGGAGGAAAGACAATCATAATGAGTTATAAATTGCACTTTAATTCTTCTTGACAGCTCTTCCTAATTAGCAAGAACTAAAAGGTAGTGTCTAATTAATTAACTAACACTTCTCTTAAGGTTACCTCTGCCCAGGCAAAGCAAGTCCTTCAAATATTCAGACCCTTGGAGAGAATTAAGGTCATGAACTCTGCACCTCCTTTTGAGGAATTGATGGCAAAACCTACTTCATTCTTTGTGAGGTGGGTAAGGAGCCTGCCAGGTGTTCTCAGGTCCTGCGCTGTGACTGAGACCTTGAAGCAACCTACCTAGGAGGAGCAGGAAGAGGACTCAGCAGTGGCCATCCACCCCTGGGGAACAAGGCATATGAAGAGTTGTGATGTCCCCATGAAACAGTGACAGAAGTTCCCTAGGGCAGCAAGTGACTCTCTCTGCAGGATTCCCACGGGACTTCACTGAGGCCGTGTCATTTGAAAGATGAGTCCAGGATTTGTAAGCTGCCGATAGCATGTCTTAAGGAGAAGCCTGTCTGTCAAACTTTATGTTTTATTCATTTTCCATCTTCAGGGATAAAATATGAAATATGATAACCTCCAGAAAAAGCTGTGTTCTAAATCTTTCCAGAAAATAATGGTTTTTCCCCATGATGGATTGAAGAAAACTCTCCCCCCTCTTTATTATATTTTATAAATGACTTGTCTTTCTGAGGACAGACACTTGTCTCTTGTCAGATTCTGCTGCAATGGTTTTATGTTAACACTTTATATTCAGAATCATCTGATGGAGTTCAAGTTCATCTCTGTGTATTCATACTTATGAACAACATCATCACACACCTCCACCCCTGTGTTGAAAATTTGAAACTGCCTTAAAAATTATTTTCCCTGCCCTAGAAACTGTTTTAAAAAAGAATACTGCCTTCCTAATTCACAGTGGGCACTGTGAAACTAAGAGTCCTGTGCGGTCTCTAAGTAGTGAACTACACACCAACAGGATGGGGTCTTATTTCTCTTAACGTCACCCACAGTGCTTTGCACAGAACTCTGGGATGTACAACACAGCAAGTGTTGATCGCTGACCCCCAGAAGGCAGAGCCACGGGGAGGTTTAGCAAAGACCATGGGTCAGCAAAGCACATACTGTAAATGAATCACTTTTTAGTTACATTGGTGGAAACTCAACCCCTGGTTTCTGCTTTTCTGTAAAATGGAGCTGAGAGTAACCACTTCACTGAAGATGAGTGGTACATGACCATGATCCCGGTGTCCTGAAGGCTGATGTGGCCAGACTGAGACACACCCAGTCACCTCTAACCAAAAAGGTCTCAGTGCCTTGTGTTTTGTTTTCCATTTTTATTTTTTATTTCATTTTCCATTCCAACCACAGCTCTCTCTCCTACCCCCTCACCTCTTCCCACCCTCCCTCACTTTCCCCCTAGTCCACCCTCAGTCCACTCCTTCTCATGTATAAGGGCTCCCATGAGGAGTCAACACAGGCTGGTGTAATAGGTTGGGGCAGGGCCTGGCCCCTCTCCCATGCATTAAGACTGAGCATGGCATCCCACCATAGGCAGTGGGCTCCAACAAGCTAGCTCATGGACCAGGATTATATCATGGTCCTACTGCCTTGGAGCATGCATCTCACCCTGAGGAATGGGCTCCAACAAGCTAGCTCATGGACCAGGTTTGTATGGTGGTCTCGATGCCTTTTAATGCCATTATCACCACACCCAGATCCCCTGGAAGCATCCAGAGACTTCCAACCAGTTACTCTTTCCACTCCTGTCACTATGGAATGATAGTCAGAATATGCAATAATTAACACTGTGCTAGGCACCACAAATCAAACAGGTTATTGATTTGTCAGGCTTAACCCTTTAGGTGCTAGGATGTGGGGACATTCAGGAGGTCCAAGGAGCCAGGCATTATTTTTAAGTAGATCTAAAGCTTATCCTCAAAATATGAAAAGTGTATTGGCAAAAACAACTTTTTTAATTGAATGTTTACTGTTCCCTTGCACAACAGCGCATGTTACTGGATCATTAGAACAACTGTTCTCTGTGATGATCTCTGAGCTCCGAGTAATAGCATGTAACTCTAGCTGTTCCCACTCATTATGTAATGAGGCACTAGCTCTGCTCACGTGTGTTAGATGACAAATAGGCTGTAGCTCCCTCTTGCAGGTCTCACTATCTGCTGTCCTCCCTGGAGTCTTTCTACTGTCAAAGTAGTGTGGGTTGGACTAGAACAGTATTATATTTGCCCCCAAGATTCAAAACACATGCCATCACTGTCTTGGATCCTGGACCAAGTTATAATTAAAAACCAATAAATGCACATAAATGCCTCAGATAATTCGAAGTTCTTGTTATTTTTCTTTAGTATTTAAAATTTCAGGAAGAATGTAGTCTCAAAATTTCACAAACCTTTTCTTCTTTATGGTATCTTTAACTACATTTGTGCGTGCGTGCGTGCGTGCACGCGCACGTGTGTGTGTGTGTGTGTGTGTGTGTAATAATAACTATTTAAGAAAAAGAGGCCATGAATTTGTGATAGAACAGAGCAGGGTATGGGACATATTGGAGGGAAGAAAGAGAAGGGGGAAATTGATTAAATTATATTCTAATTTAAAAAAGAATATCACTAATCTTTAAAAAGGAGATTCTGGGGACCAACAAATTTAAAATGTCGCTGTAGACATTGATGAAAGTAAGATTATGCAAATAATACAAATATATAATACTTGTCAAACTTTACCCTTAATGGGTACATAATCAATTTTAAGTAGTGTCTGAGATGTAAATAAGGTGCAGATTTCATATTTCAATTGTGATCCGACAAGGTTTCGAAATGACATGTTTGAGAAGAAGTTCAACTTCCATGGTTTCACCTAGCTTTGAAGATGGATAATTTTTTGCAGAATCAGGGTCCAAAAGTTCACATTGCAGGCATCTTCCGAAGAGGCTCCTGAGCCATGGCCTATTTTATATTGCACACCTCAGGACTAAAGGCTCTATTTATATCCTGCCTGAGCTCCTGATGTAGTTTGAATATTTTTAAGTACTTTGTGAATTTAGAGACAACAAGTTTTAGTGCATTTCAACTGCCCCTCAAACAGATCCCAGGACTTTCTCCTAAATATGATTCATTGCTTCAAATAAATGAGGCGATTTCCTAAGAATCTGAATCTGTTGCATTCTGTTCATGTTTAATTAGAGAGAGCACCATGAACATCTCACTGAGGTTTACTGTGATGTATTTGATTGCTAGTGTAATTACTTAAAATCCACGACACCCATTACTCCTCTCTTTCTTCCTGTGGTGGAAAAGAAAATGGACCCAAGACACAAATACCAGTTATATCCCTAGGTTTGCCTCTGACAGAAAACAGGAACAATTCCCTCCACAATACACTTTCTTTACTATTTTAGTGATAGAAAACTATTTATATCCAGCATATGAAGGTTTCACGTGAAATTATTAGTTTCCCAACTTGCTTTGCAGCTACCCAGGTACCACCTGGCATAGTCAATAGACTTAAATGTGGGTC